GCAAGCCAGCCCCCTCTTCCTAAATTTACGCGGGCGTCACAGCCTGCGTAGTCTCTCTCTCTCTCTCTACTGAATGTGTAGTCCTGTACCAGGTGTACACATATGGGTGTACTCCTACTAATTACATCCTAGCCAGACAGGAAGGTGGCACATGCCACCCCACGGTCGGAGCTGCAGTGGTGCGACGCGGCAGCAAAGACATAGGGAGCGAAGCGGCAAAAGCCGTGTATGGAGTGCATGTATGTAACAAGGGCGGTGGGGGGGCCACAGCCAGCCCTCATCCCCAGCCTCTCTTGGATGGGTGGATGATCACAAGGCGAGGCTAGGCTCCCTGCTTGCAGCCGCCCTGCGCCTGTGGAAAAACAGCACGCGGATGCGCGTCAGGCGCACCCCGCTAGAATGATGAAGACCCTAGAGAGTTTTCGGCAAGAGTCCCAGGGGTCGTTCTGGCATGCACCCCGACCAGTGCGTGCGGGTGAGCCCCCCCTTGGCGTGCTGCTGCAAGCTGGCGTGGGCGCGTATCTCAGCGCGCTGACCTCTGGCCCACCACGCAAGGCAAGCAAAATGGGATGCAGGACCATGACAGCCGCCGCCGTGCAGCGGCTTGGCTTCAGTGATTGCGCATCAATGGACACGGCCGAGCAACAAAGCCCACATTCACTTTTGACGCGACTCTCATCACACGCAGGTGGACATTTTAATTTGCTTTTGCAGCAGAATGCACCTGACGCTGCGCAAGCTACCAGAGCCAACGGTAGAGGGCGCACAGAGCACCAGTGCGGCTGCGAGCACAAGAAGGGTGCGGGTGCCGTGCGTGGCGCCAGGGGCTGCGCGGCACACGGCTGCGCCAAAAGCTGGATGAGGCCAGCGCAAAAGGCGCTGTCACACCGCTGGCCCCATGCCCAAGGCTCTGCCTGCCGCCCCTTCCAATCTTTCCCCCGACCGCACCGTGCAGTACACCTGAGCGCACCAGGCCGGCTGCTGCCACGCGTCAAGCGCACGTGGTCCCATGTCTCCAGGCCAACTTGGCAGCACAAATCTGGTCTCTGCAGGTGAGATGTCTTCATGTGCACCGCAGCACAGCTCATGCGCATGCGCATGCCGATCAAATGGCAGCAATGGCAACAATGGGGCCTCCCGCCCCCACGGTTTCACTGGCAGCGTGTTTGCCCATGCCACTAGCCACGTCCTCCCCCACCGCGACTGCGGCGGGGATCAGGATCCCCGAGACGTCATCGCTGGCGCAGCAGGCATCGGACACCGCCACCGCCGCCGCCGCTGCCGCCGACTTGCGCTCAAAGGCGCGCACTGCCGCAGGCGCCGCTCGAGCGGCATGCCCGGGGGCCGCCATGCTGGGCGGCTGCGGGTCGCGGCGCATGAAGAAGACTGGGGGCGCTTGGGCCGTAATGCGAACGGTCTCGTAAGTGACAAACCCGTGGCGCTCATACAGCGCCTGGCTCTTGTCGCTGGTCGCCTCCAGCAGGCACAGCCGCCCCTCCGCATCCGCGCGGGACGTGATGTGGCGCATTAGGAGCGACGCGTAGCCCTTGCCGCGCGCGCCGGGCGCTGTGCCGATGAATGAGAGGTAGTAATAGGCGCCGCCAGGGGCGGTGGCGGCCTCGCGCGCGTGGGCCGCCTCGTAGCGCAGCTCCAGGCCCACCAGCGCCGGCCACAGCTTCAGAGGCACGCGGAAGATCCTGGTTTGAAGGTCGGGTGCGGCGGATTGCACCGGGGGTTGTGCGGGAGGGGTAAGGTTCATGTGAGGGAGAGGCGCACTAAGGCCGCGTGCAGGTCCATGGTACTATGCATGGGGCCACACACAGCTGCTGCACGGCCCCAGCATTCGCGTTGAACGATGCGCCGCGCGAGTGACTCGGCCTCTGTGCAAGGCCGCCCACCTGGTCCAGCCCGCCAGCAGCTCGTTCGCGGGGGTCTCCTCTGGCAGCAGCTGCCACAACGCCACCGCGGCCGCGTCTGGGGTCGCGATGAAGTGGCGCGCGCGGGGGAGCGCCTTCACGTAGCCCTTGAGCTCCTTCTTGGCAAAGCGCGCGCTGGGTGTGCCGCCGAGCAGGTAGGTGTTGACGGGGTCCTCGGCCATGGCGGCCACCAGAGTGCCCATGGCAGCCAGCGCCGCGGGGCGCTGCGCCTTGCAGCCCCAGCTGAAGGACACCACACCAGGGGCCGCGCTGACCGGCTGCGGCGGCTCCGCTGCCACGGCCGCCGGCCCCCTGGCCATGGCGCCGAGGCGCGTCAGGATCCGGGCGCCCAGCGGCGGAGAGGGCAGCGCTTCGCCGCACTCTGACGAGGCGCAGCTGCTGCAGCTCCCCAGGCTGCTGCTGGAGGTGCTGCAGCCGCGGCTAGAGGGGCTGGCGTCCAGACTCGACAGGCTGGAGGCCGACTCAACAGAACGGCACGAAAAGGGTACAGCCGCAGGTCCGGCGGGATGTTGACGGTGCGCCATGCCGTCCCCGCCGGCCTGCGGCCAGGGATTATACGCTTCATCCCCATCGGCGTCGCCGGTCAAGTGTTGCTCGCATGGCAGCACCAGCGCCAACCTCGCCACAGTGGCGCAGCCCTGGGACACCATGATGACAGGTGCTAAGCCGAAGGTTGTGATAGGAGGGTAGTACGCAAAAGCTTCGCCCTGCTTGGCGGAAAAGGGTCAAGCGTGTCGAGAGAGTGGCGGCAGTTTGCACAGACCCCAACCGGGTGGTGTATCTCATATATAGACCGAGCTCGTTTGACCAGGGCGCATGCACGACCCTCGAGGCGGAGTGCTGGCTACTCCAGCCCAGCGCGCGATGAACCGACCGCGGTCCGCCCTCACCTGAGCAAACTTGAAATTCAATGGGTATTATGCGGCGACTATAAGCGATTGAGAGGCTCCGAGCTTGTGCGAGCTGCTCGCTGCACTGCGGGAAGATAACCTAATGGTGCTGAAAAGTACGTATGAGCGTTGGGGTTCGTCGATCAACACGGCAAACGTCTAATGAGGCTGGCTCGTCAGGAAGCAGAAGTGCGAGCGCCGGCTGGCAGGTGCATCAGCAAGCCGCTGCTTGCACCGGCCCGCAGCCTGCAGATGCTGTCAGCACAGGCGCCACATTCCGCCTCGTGTGGCAGCTACCAACCTGATGCTGCAATTTTCTGCAACAATCTCAGCAGTCTCAGCACATTTCAAAATTTCATTGCGGTGGGCACAGCTACTCCAGTAGGGCAGCATATGAGAAATGAAGCAAACCGCATGAGCATGCAGTACTTCTGTTGACCTGACCCGCCTGCTGTCCCACCTGCCTCGTGAATTTTGGGATGTGCCGGCAGGACGCATGCAAGGTTGCTGGGCCACTACCCCGTTTTGTTGACTGTGACCACCAACCCTTGAACCCACAAAGCAATCACTGCCTGGTGGTTCAGATTGGTGGTTGAGCAGATGCGCCAACAGATGGGTCGCCTTCCAGGTCGCCACCGTGAAATTACACGGGTGCAGTCTTTGCGCAGTGCTGCAGTGCTGATGACAAAGGCTAGAGCCGCTGTAAATGTTGCTGAAGCGAGGACCCGAGAAGCACCCCCCAATATGGGGTGCGTGCCCGCGCCCTGGCCAGCGAGCACCTGCCCCACTGCAACGGTTGCGGCCGCGCCCCTGTCAAAGGTGAACGAGCCCTGCGCGCGCATGTGTGTGGGTGAAGGGAGTATGCGCTCCCGCACCACGGCTGCCCCACCACCCGCCATCACAACCCAGCGGCCAGGGGACCTCCTGAGGCCGCCAGGCTCGAGCAATAAAGAGGGTGGCGGGAGGGGCGCCGTCGTCGATGGGGGGGCGGGGGGCAGCAAAGTGAGAAAACAGACAGCAAGGGAGGGCACAGGCGCAGAGGCCCGTCACTCGGGGCAAGGGGGCGGGGTGTGCCGGCGGCTGGT